GAGAACAAGACATGCCAAACTCCTTCCTATACAGGACAACATTTCTTTGTTGCAGTATCTTCCATGGTAGTATGTAGGATTCTCCATCTTCTCCACCCAAGAGGAAAAAGCACCAGGCAGTGCAGTCAACAAAAATCCTTCTAGCCCTAATCTCTAAATGCTTTTATCACAGAACATTTAGCATGCATATGTACTCACCCGTGGGCCTTATTTCAGGTGTTCTTACCTAAACACTGGCCTCTAATGAAGCAGCAGCCATATGTCAGGTTACAGGCAGGTGACAGATGGAGTTAATCATGCAGCTTTGAACCATTCTTCCCCTACTCATTAATCTACCTCCTTTAAGGCTTGTTCTAACAGGTCAAACCAGGAATATGTACAGCCAGAAGAAATGGTTACGACTTTGAAACTTGGATGAGATTTTTAACTTGAAAAGAGCCAGGAATGTATGTGTGTGAACTCCTGCCCCTTTCCTAACATACACTAATGAACAGCTCCTCCTACTAGCGCTAAAAATATTCAGTCTGTCAAGGAAATGTTTCTTTCCCCAAATAGGGAAGACTTCTCTCAAGCTCTCTTCCAGGTTTGTATATGTCTGACGGCAGCGCTTAGTCCAATGTTAATGACATATTAGGACTGTCATATTGAGGGCTAGAAACAAAAATTTCACATCTTTCCAAAAGAGAAAGTTACCTTTCCACTGTGACATGTCATATTTAGTTCTGCCCTTGGAAGGTTCCGATGTTGTAACATTTTAAGTTACAGAAAAGTCACTCAAAATTCTCTCTTCGGGAGTATATTGATATTTCCTTCTAAGGGTAATACTTGCACTTGTAATATGAAGGTACCTGGACTCACAGAAAGAAGGATATAAAAACACTTGGAACATGGTGAAAATTCATCAGTGTGCATGGGAAATGACAACATGGAATGAAGACCATCAGAAAACTGGTCAGACCTTCTAAGTTACACAGCTTACCAGGGGTACTTGCAGAGGCTCCTAGCTCTGCCGCTAACCTAAGGCACGTCCTTGGGCATGTCTCTCCTTGCTGTGAGTCCATTCTCCATCTGTAAAGTGAAGATAACAACATGTCACTTTATGAAGAGCTTCACGTGACAAATGCAACACAGCTCCTTGGGCCAACTTACTGGACATAGTAGAAGGTGAATAGCATACATAATTTATTGTCTTCCTAGTTAAGAATAACATGTCAGTTTGTTACACACTTTGTGTCACCCTACTTCTGCACCTCTACAGCAGCCAGTTAAAGCATGCTTGCTTCTAAGCAAGATGTGAAAGAATCAACCTTCTGTCTGTACCAAGGGTGCATAGCACTGTTCAAAACAAATCATTACTCAGAGCAGCAATGGAAGAATCAAGATGTTTTAAGAATTGCAGTTGTAAGAAAGAAAGCATTTACTTCAGCAGCTGACAGCATACAAACATGCAGAACAAGCAAAAGGACGCCTACCTAGACTACTCACTCAAGGTCTGTGCCATGATTCCTTATGGCAGGGAAGCAAGAGGAAGAGTCTCTCAGAAAACTGTTAAATTTAATCTTACTTTGTATTTGCAGGACAGTATAGAGACATAAAAGTTAATTGTCTATAGTGGTTAAAAGGCAATTTAGAAACCTACTGTCTCCCATAGGACTGGAGTCTTCAGAAATAAGTGAATGTTAGTACATTGATGCAATTATTCTTCTAGTATGCATATACATTTTTATTTGCTTGAGAGCAGGAGTATGTGCTGGGAACAACTATGGCACTATGCAACTTCCAATGACTGAAAGGAGGCTTCATTTATTTTAAAATTACCTTCTAAACTACCCTCTTGTTTAATCGTAACAAATCTGGAATGTCTTTCTTGACTTTAACAGCTGAACACTTGGCTGAGTATATGTGGGTCATTACCTTCTCATTCTTTAATGTAAAGGCAAACTGGCAGCCTGCTTGGGATTTCTTGGTACTCTTAAAGATATCCAGAAATATCCTTCAGCAACATTATAGAAGAATAGTTTCCTTCAGAAACCATACTGGATCCTGTTAGATTTCTCTGAAACTTAGGTCATAGCTCCTATCAGTGCTTTTAAGATTTTTTAAGAGTAGGCATGAAAAGCTATGATCAAATACCTAGACTGTAGTTTTATTTACATACAGTGATGAGTAAAAAGCCCAAACCCATACTCTAGATTCTTGTGTACTCTGGAAAACTATCTACAATCCTTTAATTTACTTCTCTAGGGCTGCAATTTCAGCCATTTTGTGACGGGATGGAAACATTCTTTTTCCCAAACATGGCCAAATGGCATTTTTAGCTCTTTCAGTGCGATCACAGCTCTAGTTCTACTGAAATTACAGTGTTAGTCTGGATTTCCATTGCTGTGGCAGCAAGCAGATCCTGTCTGCCAGTGTACAGACAGACTCAACAGACTGAAATATGAATGGAAAATAGGGTAAGAACAGAATTCAATATTGCCTGAATTAATGTTACTGCAGAACACCTTTGGATAATGCTCAGGATACAGAAGGAGAGATACTTCAAGAGGTGGGAGAAAAATAAAAATTTAAGAGTGAGAGCATACCAACAGACATTTTCACATGTTCTTTTTTCCTAGATAAACTTTTATGTGGTTTGTCCTAAGTACAAGATGGCTTGCTGAAAACTAAAATATCTTCTTCCCCTCAGAATAATTTTGGCAAAAGAGAAAGATCACACATGTGAAGTGGCAAAGCCAAGTATCTAAGTGATGGAAACTAACTGTTTAAATTAGAATAAGAGATGCAATTTCAAGAAGGAAAGGAGCCATACCCTCAGGAACACAAGAGTTTTAAAATCCTAGAAAACCAAAAAGTGCAGATGAGCCAAAAGCTATTTGGGGGAAGAAAAACACCCTTCCTTGCTCCAGAGATCAAAGAAGAATCTATTAGGGAAAACTAAAATCACAGTAACAACAACAAAAGCTCTGAAAAGGGCAATACTGGTACCCCTATTCATCAACACAGAGAGAAAGAATCCATCACAGCTTGGTCTCTAGAGCCACAGTGGATAATTGCCCAGTGGCTCCTTTTTCCTTTCCTCCATTCCACCAGTCCAGCCCCTGTTTGCAATCAGTGCCATGGTCTGTCCTCACAATGGGAGAGGCACATGAGGAGCAATAAGGGATGGAAGGGAATAAACGGGACCTGACCCAGAGAAGTGCACACTGTTCCCTCAGCTTTTTGTTAATGGATCTCTTCCTGCACAGCTGTTTCCATAGTCTGGTTTCCACCTGAATGGTGCCCCTTTGCCAATGTATGCCAGGGAAATAAATGGCAGTATCTCTGTCTCTGCAATATATTCTGCTAATTCTGTGATGAGGGTAAAATGCACTCCTTGTGCATTTCCAGTCCATATCCCAAATACAGAAAGGATCTGACAGCCAAGATGCAGATTGTGTAATTTGAGTTATAGGAGCCAGCAGTGGGTTTTCATCTCTGTGACAGCAATTCAGCAAAATGTTACTGAATTTTGTCACTTTTTTGAGGGATTCTCATTACAAGTTAAGCTGAGACTATTTCATTGGTAACTACAGGTACACTCATATGACTCAAAAAAAATGTGTCAGGACATTTATATAGATACCACAAAAGTGGGCTAAGAAAGAATCTTTTTTTCCCCCTCTTTTGTACTTTTTAATTAATTTGAGGAAATTCCAAAACTTTCAGTATTGCAGGCAACTAGCACTGATTATGAAACAAAAGAATATTGTTTAAATTTCTAGACTGCAAATAAATATATTAGCTAAAGCTGCTCATAAATTGCATTTCGAATTTCTGATAAAACATGGTCTAAAGGCTTCAGATACTAAAGGATATGAAAGAATAGCACATGGTCCTTCATCGCTTTCTATAACCACCCAATTTTCTTGAAAGTCTTCCTGCTAAATACCTTCCCTTTTCTCTCAAATAAATCAAAGATAGTGACAGGCATTGATACAGTTAAATATTTCTACTTTGGTGGACCAAAATAAATAGCTAATAACCAGAGCTCCTCAAGGTTATAAATGCCATCACCTGGCTCTCACAACCTCCTCTTGCAAGGGAAGAGGTGACATTGCACTTGCAAAGGAACGGAAGAGAGAGCATTTACCTGATGAGCTGAAGAAAAAACTTTACATAAGAAGGTGTCCATGAAAGCACTGACTGAGCAACGTGCTTGCTGCATGCTGCCCTTACTGTTAATGTTGGATTACAGTTGCACTCATTCATAAATTGGGATATTTTTCCAAATGTGAAGGTATTCCAGATCACAATTTCCTGCACTATTGGCTCTGCATTCAAGGCAACAAGCAGATGCAGAGAAATGAGTATGAGAAAACTACTGCCAAAATATGTCAGTGTTTTCAGGGGCTGGGAAAACAGGCAGAAGCAACATGGCAGGCCAAGAGAGGAAGATTTCTGCTCCTACGGGTGAGGAAAGGTGAAGGTTCCCGAGCACACAACTCCCTGAGGGGCCAGGTCTGGCCACCAGGAACTTGGAAACTGGTTTCAGCATCTCCCATGATGATGGAGCCAGTGTACATGTGTATGTACTCTTGGTAAATAAAGGGCATTGCATCCCTAGGGAAGTCCATTCCTCCCCGACAGGAGCAGCCTTGCAGAGCCCTAGATATTACTCCACCTGGCAATACAGGGCTGACAGTTCCTATCTTGAATTGCAGGCTTCCAGCCCTTTTTAAGCATTACTGAGCTTTGCAGAGGCAACTTAGACTACAGTCATCAAACAACTGAGACTAGACTAAGACTAAAATCATCAAACAATTTAACTTCCTGTTCAAGCACTGCCGTTACAGTAGCTTTACTTGGCAGTGTATCATGTGCTGCAGAGGGAGGAGGAGAGAAATCGTGTGAGCACCTGAGGTGCAGCCTGGCCCCACAAGGAAGGAAGGCTGATGCTGTGAGGCCCTGGCAGTCCTGGCAGTGCCTGCAGGGGGTGGAGACAAGGCAGCGGGCCCACCATTAGCACCATGCTCCTGGGGATCCTCGTGGTGCTCTGCTTCATCCCCACTGCTGATGTAACAGGTAACAAAAAACCCCCACATTTCAATCCTTTCCCCTACTTTTTCTCACTTTGATCATCAGGGGGTAGAAGGTCTGGTATAGCTCTGAATTAATTTTGCACAAATTATTCTTGTTTGGATGAAAGGGCAGAGGCAGCATGCTGCTGAGTCTGCAAATGGATAAACTTGATATAACCAAGAGACCAATTTTTCTCCTATCACAAGTATCCTTCCAAGATGAGACTCAAGACCTTGCTTTTAATTCGACTTCTCTCTAGATCCATTTGGAAACTGCATGCATAGGTAGAGGGGTGGTTTTCTCACCTACCCCTGGGCTTTCCAAATTCTGCTCACCAGTGCCTTTTCTTGGGGGCAGCAGGTCTGAGCAGACCTGGTGCCAGCGCCTGTCTTGGGCAGACTCTCCACATCCCCAAATCTACTTGCAAAGCTTTAGGTTCCCCCATGTCCTGGCTTGGTGTCATGGGCTCTAGTGCTGAGTGCAACAACATCCTCACAGGATTAGCAAATAAATGCTCAAAAGCAGAGTTGCTTACTGAGCTCAAAGATGAGACGATGGGACTTGCCAAGTTTCTGATTTTTGCATTGTTTAGTGATTTACTGCTACTTACTAGACATCCTAGTTTCTTTCTGAAGATCTTCAGAAAAAAAAATCTTTTTGTGATTTTGAAATCCTGAATCTTAGTGAATCTTCTTGACCCTTCAGTTGTTGTGGCTGAGGGTATTTATCTTGGTGTTGGCTTGCTCATGCAGTGTTCCTATGCTCAGACCTAACATGTCTTTCCAACGGACACATTAAAATGCAAAGCAAGGCAAGGGATGCTGGATTTTGCTGTGATAATCTTGAGACAGACAATTTTTCAGACTGCTGGCTGTGAACTGTTGTAATTGTGTCTTCTCCAAATATCAGTGTTTTGTATTTTCCAGGGAAGTTGCAGATACGAATAAAAATCTGGTTTCCAGTACAAAATTTTTAGCAGAGAGAACATCTTAAAAAGCCCGTTTTTCTAGTATGAGATATGCAATTGAATCTACTTTTTTCTTATTTCTACATTATTTTTCCATAATTCTTTTTCCTCAGTGAGGGCATTGTAGTTTGCATGACACCGTGATCTACATTTCTTTAAGAAATCATAGGGGTTTTTTTTTGTCCTTTCCCATGTTTATAATTCTGTGTTTGCAATATCATAATTATTTCCACAGCAGGCCCCTGGATTTTCAAAGAAGACACTAATTCCAGGAGGGGATAAGTATCAGCAGTAGGTGAACAATTCTGAACAACATTTCCATGAGATGTGAACAACTTTTAAGCAGTGCTTTTGAATTGCAACAAAATAAATTCCAGTGTGTGGTTCTCAGACACAGGCGTTATGCCATGGCTTTATAGACACATATACACTTGCTTTGCATGAAGAACTTGTGTTTCTCCAACAGACTCACCAAGATTGTTCAACTTCTTAAAGAGAAGCACATGAGGTCATTTGCTTCTCAGGGCTCTCATCCTTTCCCCAACTAGTTTCTTCACTCTTCATTTTCAAGATGATTCATCCTTAGTACATGGAAAACATCAAGGCAGGTCAAAACCCTGCAGGATTTCTTCAAGCCGTGAAGTGCACTATAAGCCTCAGGTATTTTGGTTTGGGAAAATCAAAAGAATTCGTCCTGTTGTTAGACTATATCAGTAGGTGCTGCAGGTTGAGTTTAACTCATAGAAAGGGACTTAAAATAGTGGTTTACTCATTTCCCTTTTGCAGAAACACTAACGATTACAAAGTTTGTCCTCCTCCCCTTTTTGTTGGCTAGATAATTACCTTGCTGTGGTCTGTCAGAAAGGTAGCTAGATGAAGTGTCTGGTATTTTGTGAAATAAGTAATATAAGCAGGTTCCCACTGCAGTGTCCCACAACTGACCCCATATTTTTACTATCCACATAACCTTCTGGTTTACGGTCTTTGGGGATTAAAATCAACCTCTAACCTACCAAGGTTACCAGAATGCAAAAGATGGATTAGGAAAGGTTAGCTGAGAGTAGGACGACATCAACTAATTCTTGTTTTAAAAAAATAGATCACAAACTGCCAAGAAAAACGCCTGTGCTCACCCTGGGTTTGATTAAAGCAAGAGTGTCACCTGGGCTTTCTGGAGTACTGCACTGCCTGCAGTAGTCGCAGCAAAGCAGGAAAGTTGAGCAGAAAGCAGGTCTGCAAGGGCCTGAAGGACAGGATCCCCCAGCTGCACATCAGACACACCCCTGGGTGGCCTCAAACCAAAATAAAAGAGAAGGACCCTTGTACCAAGGAAAGAAGAGCGAACATAATTGAACAACAGACCAGCAGCAGAAAAAGAAATAGCTTTGCTTATAACATACCTGTGTTCCTTTCTGCCTGTGGCTTAAAAAATTCCTTTCAGTTTTTTCAGTTAGGGTTTTCCCTATCCCCCCAGGGAATTAGGTGGGCCATTTCTTTCCCGTGCTTACAGAAATGTCAACTTATCTTAAATATCTTGCTCTGGAAAATAGTTTCTTGAAGTCGACCGGCATAAAAAGGGAAGAAGAGTACTAAATATTTTAGCAGAATATTTTTTTCCAATAGCTGATGATGATTCATGAAGAGTTCTGGAGAAAGAAAGAAAACAACACCTCAAAATAGTTATTTTCCATACTCTGTTAACTCTATTTCACTTTCTTGGTGAATAGAAAACTTCAATGCAGTTTTGCTTGCATCAGGTTCGGTGATCAGAGAGTCAGTATTTTACAGATCTTATAGATGGATGGTACTTTGTTTCATAATCCCAAACCCCCTCACATGTGATTACAAGAATTATCCAGCACTACAAATAATCTATAAAAAAGCTTAACAAGCATTCAGAGATCTTACACACCATTGCATATAAATCCTAAGATCCTGAGAAGGCTTGCAGCTTGTGCACACTGACTGAAATGATTTTAAATTTTTAAAGTCACTACTTTTTGAAACTGTAAACAATGATTTTTCATAAAAGTAATTTTCCTGGCTGGATAAGGCCAACATATAGATATTTATAACTACACAGCATGACTGAACACAGCTCTGAAGTGGCAATCATGAATCTATTTAGGAGAATGGAAACACCTACTAAATGTTTCAGAGTTTCACCATTCAACAAACTCAACGTGACACTTAGGAGCAAAAACTGTCTCTGTGAAGGCAAAAGCAGCCTCAGCCCATGTTTGCTCAGAATGGGCTAGATCCTACTAAAAATGTAGTCAAATCCTATTCAGATCACAAGTGAAGCGAGGGATGTTAATCATTACTCTGTCTTCCCCATGAAACTAGCACACATTTTAGCATGACTGACTTTCTTCAATTCAAAAAATCCTCCAAGTCCAGAGAAGAAGGATGACAGCAGGGCTTGTCCAACACGCCAGTTGGGGTAAGCTTGCCTTGCCCCTGTTGGCATTGCAGCTCAACCAATTCATGCAGTGCTAATGAGTTCTTCCTATAAATGAAAACAAAAATATCTCCTTTAATTTAGATTTGAACTAGTAGAGCCACTTTGTGAAAATGGATTTGGGTGCTTAGCTTCAACCACGTAGGTGCTGTCTTCATTTAATAACCCACAAATGAGCTTTTTCCCACTTCTCAGCCTATCTGCATTCCCATCAGAAGCATGGAGCTAGGTTATCAAGCCTAGCCTGCAAGACAAGGCAAACAGATTGGATTATAAATCCAAGAGGTGAAAATAAGTTGAAGGAATTTATCATTTTAGGAGGGTGTATCAAAAGAGACTGATTGCCAGTTAGCACTGTATCATGGCAGGGACATAAATAATCCAGAGCAGTATTAAACAGTGGAGCTCAAGGCATAAAGCACAGGTCTAAACATCAGGAATCCAGGTTAGCTGATGACAGCAAAAGAGATGGGGGTAAGTCATTGGGGCCTGCAGAAGAGTCTAAATAACATCTGAAAGAGTCCCTCAGTGATGAGATTTTCAGTGTTCTTTGACTTCCCTCTGACCACAGAGAAAATATGATCAGGCTGAGCAATAAATATCCATTCGTTTTCTGTAAGTACTTGCAATGAAAACAGGCAAGTACTTTTCAAAGTGTAACGCTTCTGTCTGTTCTGGGACCCTATTTTGGTTTTTAACTCTGAGACAGAAAAGGTTTCCCCTGAAGGTGTATTCAGTCCCTGTGACAATCAGGGTTGTAGTAGTGCACAAATACTGCAAAGCAGTAGAATAACTCTGTCTCAAATGAGATGTATAGAATTCTGCTGTGCTAAAGGTGGAACAATTCTACTGCAGACTTGCAAATTGCCACGCAGGCCAAAGATCAATTTTCTGGCCAACAAAAATATGATCAAATACCTTGTCTGAAGGGGTGGAATCCAAACCTCACCCCTTACTAGAATGCCTTATAAGCCTATGTGAGAGCTTTCGTCGGAAAATGCTGATTCAAGGAAACTGAATTGTTTTGCTGAAATGTCTTCATTTTGATGAAAAGTCACCACAGGCACCACCTTGAGTAAAGACTCACCTTCTCTGTTCTTACTTTGCCACTCTGTCCTAGGATTCAAAGATCCTTGTCTCTTTCTGCTGGAAAGCCTGGAAATATTATCCTTCATTCAAAGTTTCACAGTGTTTTGGTTGCCTGTGAACATTGGATTTCAGAGCTGTTATGAACTCTCCTCCACCCCCTTACTAACAATGTTGAGCAAAAAGACACAAGGATGATAGGCTACAATCTTTCTTTGCTAAAGATGAGGCAGTAGAGCATTCCCTGTCTCCTATCTCCTCCTCTCATTTGAAGCAAGGGCTGGTAAATGAGACTTTCAAAGAGAAAATTAACAACTTCAGCAGTTTCACAAGTTCTTCTGGTAACTGGAGAACCTGCTAGCCAAAGGTTGTTTTTACTGCCCACACCCTACCACTAGTCCTGGCCATCTCATGTATCTCTTTGTGTTTATTTTTCTCCCTGGACCACATTTACCCCAAAGGAGTATCCTGCTCAAAGAGGCTGGGGTACTTCATCTTCTTGTGCAGGCATGAATACAGTAAGCATCACTTGGTCCTAAATATTGTTAAAAACAGTTTTAAACACTAATTTTCTGGGTATACTGGATATGGCCTCCTTCCCACTTCATTTCTCTTACTAGCCTTTTTGAAGTCTTGCCACATGGATTAAGTAGGAAGAATCTAGGTTTGCACTCCATTTTGAGGACAAGAGGTACAATTGTCATTCTAACAGCCACAGTGATTCTCAGGGATCTGTAAAAGACTATCCAGATCTCATAGGAGCCGAGCTTGCATAAGGACTTAAGCAGTCATATAAAAGCTTTGGCAAGTCTCTTGCTTAAAAGTCACAACTCCCTTCCTCTTACTTAGGGCTCATCATTTGAAAAGAAGGGCCTCATTTGTACAGGATGGCTTTTCTTGGAAAAAGTTGTCTTTCTGCATAGTCCTTGGTGTGTTTCATTGTTTGGCAGATGACAGCACAGAGGTCTACGTGTCAGAAAACATTTCCTGTTTATGTATCAGTCCGGTCAATTAAAATTCAATTATACATTCATGTGACATGCTTTTTTCAGGCCATTCAAGTGCTAAGTGCCAATGCAGCGTCAAATTAGTCAGCTCCTGAGTCCTTTGAGAGATTAAGAATCTACTACAGCTGTTAGCTAGAGAAATTACTTATTTTACATTAAAATGATAGCAGTTCATGCTTTTAGTGTTCATTGCCCAATGTCCAAACCCTTGAAATGGTTCAGGAAATCCACCTGCAAACTCTTCAGGGGTCCTTGAATTAAAAAGCAAATGTATAAATAATATTATCTTATCTGGCTGCAGTGTCAATTCATACTATTTTCATTCCATAATGTTCCCTGGGAAACTACCTGCTAAGTAAAGGATAGACTTAGATGGCCTTACATATACCTGCATGCACACAGATGCAGCTAGGCTTCTGAGCTCTGATGTTAAATCTTAATCACAGGCCACTGCCTCTGCCAGCATTCTGACTCTGAAGAAAAACAATCTTGATCTCACAGTCTCCCCTAGAGACCATGTAATTATTTACATACAGGTGGATTGGTGCAACAATAGCTCCTGTGAGAAACGGCTTCTGCAGATGGGTGGTTTTGTACTCCCTGGTAGGGAGTGTCAGCAAGGGAGAGGAGAGATATGGAGAAGAGTTGCATGGGAGGATGTGTGGTTCTGAAGTCTCTTACTATATTTCAAAAACAAGTTCTTTTCTCACTTTCTCCCCTCCCTTCCAGAAAACAAGATTTTAGTGGCTCAGCATCCTTTGCTCATTGTAACTAACCAAACTGCAACTCTAGTTTGCAACTATACATACAATGGGACAGGGAAGGAATTTCGAGCTTCGCTACACAAAGGAACGGACAGTTCAGTTGAAGTTTGCTTTATTTCATGGAACACAACCATAATCAGCAACAATTCAAATAAAGAATTCAACTGCCAGGGGGATCATGATAAAAACAAAGTCATCTTCCATCTTTGGAACATGAATGCCAACCAAACTGACATCTACTTCTGCAAAATTGAGGTTATGTATCCACCCCCATACGTCTACAATGAGAAGAGCAACGGGACTGTCATTCATGTGAAAGGTAAGCTGAGAAACCTCTGTAGGTCAGTATCCTCCCTATGCACACTCCCTACATGGCTAGAGGCAGTTTGTTTCCTTAAAAAAAAAGTTGGATTGCCTGGTAAAACTACATTCCTGATCTAGACTTCCTGAAGAAGAGACCTTAAAATAATGATTAATAAAAATGATATTGGAACAAGGAGTAAAGCAGAGATCTATGTTTTTTATTTCATAAACTTAAAGTTTTCTTTGCTCTTTCCTTAAAGAGACACCTACCCAAATACAAGAGCCTCGGTCTGCAATTCCTTTGTGGATTCTGGGAACAGTGACTGGAATTCTTTCACTCTACAGTATGCTAGTAACTGCAGTTTGTATTAACTACTGGGTAAGAAACTTGTATTTTCCTTTGCTCTGTATGCTCTAGTAGTTAATTTCTCAAGCTATACTTGCCATGTTTACCACTAACTCACTGACACCCCTTCAGTACAGGATGACAATGTTTCTTCATCCTAGCTATGTATGCACACCCATGGTGTACCCAAAAGAGCTGAAACACCAGATGCTCTCCAGGTGGGCAGTCAGCCCTCTGCAGTAGAGTCCTACAGCAAATAGTAATGCCACAGAGTTGGCAGTGCCCTGCACACCAGCAATACTGGGACACCTCTGCCAGCTGAACCTGTCAGGGAAATCTAGAACTACAAGCATTTCTGGCAAAACCCTTTGAGACTATACTGACAGGAGCTCACCTACAATAAAATAATCCATAGGGAGTCCTCAGCCCAGGATCATCTGCACTGGTGTCTTGTGCCTATCCAGCAATTCCCTTGAGCAACCACTATTTCTGGCAGCCTGACTACAAGGGAACAGGAGCACCTGGATCTCAGTAGTCCCTTGTCTGTACATCAATAGTAAGAAAGCTGAGACAGCCTTATGGCTCATAATTTTTGCTTTCTAATCTCTCTGGAGAGTTAACTGGTCCAAGTCACATCCAGTTCTCCTCCTGGTGTGATACAGGGGCAGCAGAAGGACATTTTCCTTGACAAGTCTTAGGACTGTGATCTTCAGAGCCAACTTACACTTCTTACTCCATGTGAGAAAGACTTGAACACAGAGAACTCAATTCCTTGCACTCTGACTTTCCCCTCTGTCTTTGTTGTTAAATTGCAATTTTCAACACAACCATTATGAGGTAACCTGTATAAAAGGTCCAGAGTCCCTGCGGGTTAAATGTTGCAGGTATACAGAAAGCCACTGTCACTGCTAGCTGAAGCTTGAGATCTGTTAAGTGTTTCACAAAAGGACGCTTTCTCAATCTGTGGCTATTTCTAATGGAAAACAATCAAAGGGGGCACTGCCGCAGGAAAATGCAAAGGCCAGTTAAGTGGTTCTTCTTTGTGCCCTATTGTAGAGGCTGACTCTGAGGAGAGCTGAGAGGATTAGGAGCAGCTGCTGGTGTTACAGTGCTGTGCTGCTCTGGCTGCACCACAGATGAGATGCTATAGCTTTAAATCCATCATTTACAATCTGAACCATTTTCTCTGTGCTATATTCATTTGTTACCTAATGGCTTCACTTTGCCACTAACATGTCTGCCCCCAGCAAGGGTGACAAGGCTGCACTGCCATGTGTGCTGTTTGCTCCATCAATTTTTACCTGCTGTTATTACTGCTGGTAGTATTCTTCAGATAATATGTATCCTGATTGTGGATGTATTTAGAGTGTTGTTGAATGTAAATACAGCTGCCTACAAGACATTGTGAATTGTAAAAAAAAGGTCTTAATTGTGGTACTCAGACCTGGCAAGCCTGATCAGTTCCTGAAAGCAGCTAAAGATTTGTCTATTTTATACAGTTCTGCCTTCCCTGAAGGAAAACTGCTTTCCATTGCAAAAGTAGCAGTCTTTGATCCTGTAACAGCCCAACAATCACTCATGCTAGCAAAATGTCTTTCTCCCATGCAAAACTACCTCCTAGGTGAATTAGAAATCCTGTATTATGGAGATGAACACACAGAGATAAAGCTTTTGTATCTAATGCTTTACATGCGTTGACTGCATTATGTGGCTTAATCAGTATGTAACTTACATTCAACATTTTGCATATATATAACATTAATATTAAAAAGCTTAAAGTATTTCGTAGTAACTGCCCCACTCTGCACATACAACATAATTCAGCCATCAGATTTTCTACTGCAAACCTCCTCCAATTCCACAGCATCATATGCATGTTTACTGCAGCATATACAACTATTTCTGTATATGGAAAGGAAATTTCAGTAAAAAGGAGATTACAAAAGAGGGTATGATCAGTATTAAGGAAAAAAGCATGGAAGCACTTTACTTACCCCTGATCAATAAAGCCTTAAGCTATGTAAAAACCACCAACCTTGTGCACAGCCTGCAGCAGTCAGAGGCTGAAATACTGCTGTAGCCACATATTTCCTCTGTGATTTTAGGCAAATTTTTTCATGTCTTCTGCTACTCCTATTCTGAAAGAGTCGATGCTTCCCTTGTTTCACAGGGACATTATAAGCAGGAATAGAACAGTGGAAATAAGATTTTTGAGGCCCAGATAAGGAGACAAAAGATTGACATCATCTCTGATTCTTTCACTCCTTGAAGAAAGGTTCAGAACAACATATGTATTGTATCTTACTGCTGTAAATGGTAGGAAAACCATAGTCTGGGCTGATTTTTCATGCTCTTATTCTGTTAGAGTTAAGCTAATTTCTCTTTACCTCCTAATAAATGAGGACAGCCTTCATAGTTCAAACTTTTTGTTTCTGCTGAATCATTCCACAGATAAGAGAGGCAAGATGATGGTGAGAGGCATCAGTTTGTATCCTTGGTGTGTAGCATTCCTCTACCTCAAGAATTAACACTGTAAATCTCTCACCAGATAAGCTGGAGACTTACTTTCAGGTTGGGCAAATTCCATAGATTATTTGATGAGAACATGTGTTCTGATTCTTTTGTAAATGTACTTTAACCTGAAGCTGCCTTACAAATATGCCTGCTTCCCTGAACAAGGACCTAGGGCCAGAACTGTCAGCAGTTAACATGAAAAGTTTTCACAGTTGTCTTCGCCTTTCTCCCACAGCAAAAATCCAAAAATAAGAAGTACCATCAGAGTGACTACATGAACATGACTCCCCGGCACCCAATATACCAGAAGAACAAGGGTTACCCCTCCTATGCACCGACGCGAGACTACACCGCCTATCGGTCCTGGCAGCCCTGATCCCACCTGCAGCCTCGTGTGCTTCTGGGCACCCACTTGCTCTGGGGCATGGAAGGACAGCCTCTCATTTTCTCATTGTGTTTGTTGCTAGTGATCATGGACACCTACAGCATAGCAAGTATTAACTAAACTTTGATCTACTAAAAGAAAATCCAGACCAACAAACCAATATAAAAAGGCGGGAGGGGGGTGGAGGAGGGGAAGTAAAAAAAAGATTTTTTTCTCCGTGATGGCTGAAAATGAGGCCCAGCTTGTGTTGGTGGTTGTCAGTGGGTAAGATGGAAAGATGGCATCAGACCTCAGCGCTGGTCTCTTCCTAACATTCGTGGTTTTGCTCAGCTGTTGGAAGAAGCACAACTTCTGATCTTTTCCAGTAACTACTGCCTTAGATTTAACCCTTAATTTCCTTCCCTGTATGTGTAATCCTCAGATTGTTGCTGTTAAACCTGGCAAAATGCAAAAAAAAAAGTTTTTTCTCTACAAGACCAGGACACAGTTTGAAGTTCAGAACACATACTTAAAAGAAAGAGGAAAAGGTCAGTCAGAAGTCATCCAAGCTATTAGCCTATGGAACAAATGATTTGCCAGGACAAACTAAGCTGAAAGAAAACTAGAAAACCTTCAACACCTGAGTCCTTAGGCTGGACACTTTGTAAATGTTCATAAGGCCATCTGCAGTAATGACCAAGCAACTCCATGGACTGAAAAAGCAAGCAACCTGAAGACAAAATTAAGACAAGCTGGGGAGGAAGAAAGATCTGTCTTCGTCATGAACAACCCCATTTTTTAGTTTGCCTTCTGCATCAAGGGAACGCAAAGTCATATATGAAGCATTAGAAGACAGAGAGCTCAGATTTTGAGAAGATGTTTACTTTTTAAATTTGAGAATTCAGAAAGCATTCTCCTGAGTCCTCCTGAAAATTTATGCACATCTTCTGGCACCTAGGTTGTACCAGAGCTCTTTAAAAAATCTGGGTCGACTTATGAACAACTAAAGACCACTTGAATTTCTTTTCCCATAAGTGTCCAGTTTTTGGGGGGTGAGGGGATTCTTCATTCCCAGCATTGTAAATTGGACCTGCAAGTTCTCAAACATCTGCAGGATCTGTTCTGGGCACTTCGAGGAACTTTGTGTTATCTGGAAGTTACTTTTCTCTCTAAAAATGTTCTTCAGCACTGCTCCATGCCAGAGTTTGAAAAAGTCTAGCAAAACATGATCCATTCTTTCAACCAAGTATATTTACAATAACAGGACATCCTAAATTGTAATTGAGGTTGCTTTGGGATAAAATCCCTTTTCACACTGAGGAGACAATGTTCATTTTATAAAGACTGCTGAATAAAAAATTAAAATACCCCCCCCCATTCCCACCTTGAAATAAAACTTGGATTGTACAACATTTAATTTCCTTCAAACTGGGATAAGAAGATTTTCTCTCTTTGAGGAGACAGAACAAAAGTAGAGATGTGGAAGCATGACAACTATCTGCTTTGACTTCTTAAGCCAAGAAAACAACTTTGGCACTTCCAAATTGGCAGTTTTATTTGAGTTTGCTGACTGGACCCCAGACCTCCCACTCTGAGTCTTATGTCACCATGAACCACGTGCTGTGCCACCTCTGAGCAGCAGTGAGGTGCCCCCTGCCCCAGCCAGGGACAGGAGAGCCCACTGGCCATGATAAACAAGGCCCAAGAGGCAGTGCTGGGCCCTCAGCATGTGAAGCCAGTCATGGACCCAGCCCCGAGAGCCTTTGTCTGGTTCAGTTCAGCAAATTCAAAAGCTTATGATTGAACCAAAGAACTTCAAAACAAGGTCTTATTCATTTCTTCTCCTTTCCCCTCACCACATGCACAAGCACTCCAAGGCTGACATTTTTCCATATACAATTTTTACTCTCTTTTCCTGAAAAGCCCTCACTGCACCTTTGTACTCAGCTGAGGCAGCAGGGAACACGTGCACAGAGCAGAGGGGAGGGAGCCAGGCAGGACACATGGGCATTGCTGCATGGTCCCAGCCTGGCACTGACAGCAGGATGCTAAAGCCTTGCCACCTCCCTCCTCACTTGGAGGGGAGATATGAAGGATCCTGTGCTGGGGCACGCAGCCTCTCCTAGCAGAGAGCAGCAGGCTGAGCACAGCTTTCTGTCATGGCACTGTCTCACCAAGCTCCAGGCTGTCACTGTATGATACAATGACATTGTATGATCATGTGCTGTGGAAAATCGCAACTTCTAGTGCAAGTATAAGGTGAGATGGCAAATGCGTATCAAACCTACAAAACAGAATAAATGTTCTTTGAGTAAACTGCATATATACATATTTAGGTATGGATGCATCTATTTCATTGCATCTATATTCCCTAGAGTTTTATTGCAATCTCCTTTTAAAATTATTAAATAGATGCACAAAATTAAATCTTGAATGAATGTATTAGGCCTGAGGCTAATCAGAGGAAAGTATTACTTTCTAAAGCAAATATTGGTATAATTTGCTTTCCTTCCCCTAGCACTTTTGTACTTTCCATATTTAAAACATACTGGTAGCTCCCAGGACATGATACTGGATAGTAAGTCCTGGAATATCTGCAACAAGTATTAATTCATTTGGCTGACCAAAAAGGAAGGGGGATACAGGGAAATACCCTAAACGTAAAATGAAAAAATGAGGAGAATCAGGACATGAGAAGCCCCATCACTGTGTTAAAATGGACCCTGCTGTTATATTAAAGCTCTATAGGGACATGAATTACAGACTGTTGGAGATGGGTTACCAGTAAATTCCTTTTATCCACCACTGCAAAGGACTAAAATAAAGTGTTTGCAGAGAAGCGAGCCAGTTAAGCCTGGAGTCTGCATATGTGGATTAGCATATTCGACAAACATATTCGACAAATAAATCCTAATTTATTCCATCTGGTTTTAGGCAATGCATAACATGCCAGGACAGTCCTGTCCCTCCCTGGCCCTGCCTTTGGGGTCTATATGCTGTTTATGGGATGATGTAAAAAGAAACCTCCCTCTGCTGCAGCTCTGAACTTGGAAACTGTCCCTCATGGAGGGCAGAGGTAAATCAGTAGGGTTTTCTGCCTTACACATAGGTTTTAATTCAAATGCAAATATAATCCTGCCAAAGAGTGATTTGATTTTTCATCCTCCTTTCCCCCACTTTTGGGTCTCAGTGTCAAATGAACATCTGATTTGCAGAAATCACATCTGAACAGCAATCAACATATGTTGCAAGGGGTCAACCAAGGGTTGTGCAGCTCCAGCCCCCTGCATGCTGATTCCTGTTCTGCACGTCTCCAGCACAGCACAATACAACAGCCTGGCTCTTCTTTGCTTCCAGGAACCAAAGCCTTAGAAGACAAATGCTGAGGAGATAGCCTGTGTTAACTCTGCAGGGTCTTGAACCTTCCCCATTGGGGTGGTCAGGCTTACTGAAGCCAAAAGTCTTGGACATTCCTTCTAGTCTGAATATTCCAAATTCCAGCATTATCCTCCTGTATAACATTTTTCCAAAATGCCTCTTATTTCTTCTGTAGCTATAAATGTGAACCTGCATCTCTGCCAAACAATATTATATCTTCCTTCTTTGTGCATCATTTCCCTTTCATTTCTATTCCAGACTCAGCTGTTCAGGAACCCATCCTATTTGTTATCTCTAACACAATTTTTCAGCCTTCCACATGTACTCCTGCCTTACTTCCTGCCTGGTTACTTATTTCACAAAGACTGTCTTGTATGCCACATTTCTCCTCAGTAGGAGGAGATCGAAGCCATGTGGTGATTGGATAGGTACATGTTTTCTGTTTGAAGGGTTTGGGGATCTTTCATCCCTTTGATTTTTCCCATCATCTTCAGATTTTCAGTTGTGCCAAACAGCCACGTGGGGATTCCACACACCACATGCTTCCCACAGTGCATTTAATTTCTGTACATTTCATTTCCTGTGCATAGCAGGATCTTGGCTAATGCCAAGTTCATAATGCCTGCAGACATGCTCTGACAGCAGAAGCAACTTTGGCTACTGATGGTATATTTGATTAATAAAAACATGGTACAAAAAGCTTAGGTTTTAAGAGCACACAGGCAAAGGCTTCCGTGCTAAAGATCAAATCTTTCCACTTTCAGCAAGGCTTTTGCTGTGTGACTGGAAAATGCGTTATGCAAGATGAATCACAGGCCAAGACATAATTTTGTTAGTCACTCATACTAACCAGAAAACAGGTTAGGGTAATGAGAACAGGATCAGCTTTATGATCCAGTAAGGTCCAGTAAAGTCTGAGAAAGTGAAAACAGCACTAGGCAGTAATTTGTAGCCAAAGTCAGTGTCTTCAAGTTGCTGTGAGAGGGAAACTAGCTGCCTATCTTGATGCAAATGGACTATTCTTCACAATTAGGTGCTTTTGTTAAAGCATCACATTACAGTATGTTACTATTCCAGCCTCAAGGGCATGCAGTTAGTATGATGTGGCCAATTTGGCTGACAAAGTATTACGAGGCTGCCAATTTCATATTAACCCATTTGCAAAGAAACAAAAATGAATGATCTCAAATTCATGGTGGGTTTTATTGTTTGTTTGTTTGCTATTTTCTCTTACTGGATCTTCAGGATCAAGGCACTGCTTCTTATTTCCTGCCCCTCTGTTGTTGTTATTATTTTTGTTGTTGTTTTATTAAAAATTATATATAACTTTAGGCCACATAACTTATCAGGAACTCTGCAGTTTCATTCATCTGACTATTGAAATTATGAGGAATTTTCAAATGCCACAGTTTTCATAGCCATTGTATCATTATGTGGCTACATCATTCCTTTTCCTCATCGTCTTCTTATTCCTTCAAGGAAAATATTCTGGATTGGTTGAAATGTTCTTATGGGTTGGAACAAATCTAGTTTTGCAGATAGGAAAGATCACTACCTAACCAGCAAAATCAAAGATGCAAGCAAGCAATTAGTAACACTTCTGTGGAAATTAACGTAGTGGTTTCAATCTTGTAGGAGGATCAAATAGCCTTTTTATAGTATCATTTCCCTCTAAAATAAAGAAGCTTGAGAAATTATATACTAAAGTACCTTAAAAGACAAGAGATCAGGTTGCGAAATTAGGAAATCAAAGGCAGGAAATGCCAGAAGGAAGCTTTCCTATGCAGCCTCCCTTCTGCCCCCTTGTGTGCCCGGAGTGGCTCTTCATCTCCGCTGCATTTCCCCGTGCTGAGCCGAGCCCACGCTGAGCGGGGCCGGCGCCGCTCCCTCGCGGCGCTGCGGGAAGGCTCCGGCAGGGCCAGGGCAGGCGCTCAGCAGGCGACAGATCCCGAGAGCAGCTCCAGCCCTTCACGTGGAGGGCTGCAGCAGGGCACAGGTAGCAATCAGGCTAGCTTAGATAATAGCTAAATTAGTGCCCGACAGCCTCGTCAGTGCCCTGTTAAATTAGTTCACTGTGTCGTGAGTCAGAATGAACTAATTTTCATGCTATGCTCGCTGCCTGTGACAGCCCTTGGGCTACTTTAATCTTCAAACACCAGTGGTCAAGATGAGACCTGATTTATTTTTTTTCCTCATGAAAATGATTAAGTAGATTGCTCACATTTCTTCCTGGGCTTCTCAACCTTCCCCACACAAATCAAATCTAGCTGCAGAAAGGAAATTTTTTCTCTGTTTGGATAGCTCATCAGCTCCTGATAGTTAGGGACAGAGGCTGAAGTCCAGGGTGGAATGATGCCTTTGGGAGCATTATCCTCTCCTTTTAGCTCTTTCTCTCATTAGCTGATTGTTGAAGTAATGCCAATGTTCTATCTTAAAAACAACAAAAAAGTATGAAACTACGAAGATACAGAATTGGACAGCAGGGGAATAACCTCTCTCCCTCCTGCGGACACACATAGCTGACACTACTTTCAAGTCCAGCCCTGTAAGGGAGCAATTCACCAGAAAGAATGGAAGAAGCAAAAGGGGTTAAAGGAGAAATCACTCTGAAACCTCTTCAGTGAAATTCTGGAACAGTCCCTCAGGGAATGGAAATTAACAAACCAGCTGCAGGATGTACTACACAACTCAGACTTTTGCCTCTCTCTAGCTATACACGAGAAATAACTCTTAAAAACTCCCTAGTCCTTCTTGCTTCAAGAAGTACTTTTTACTGTTTGGCTGCTCTGCATCATTGAGACATAAGCTGCCATTGATGGTGAAAGCCAGGTTAGGTCCTGTGTGTAGACTTGGGTGCTCAGTCAACTCCCAAGAAACTCCTAAGATGAAAGCACAAATTATGTTCGAAGGGCAATGGACAAGCAAACTGGCTGGAAAGCTAGGATGGATGAATGGCTGTCTGCAGGAAAAGTGAAGTTAAGCAACTCCAGAGTTTTTCTCCAGCAAATACAGAAATGTATTAGTTTGAACTACAGCTGTAGTGGATTTCCTCCAGTAAAAGCAGCTCTTGGAAGGATGAAGTGATTATTTCAGGACATTTAA